CGACAATACATTGACCAGAGTGAACGGTTGGAAGAGTCCGGTTTTGTTATGAAGCTGAAGTATTTTGAATTTTAAGTGTCAGAGTCTAATGACATTAATTTCGATTGCGTCGGTCGAGAGTTGGAATCCGGGCAACAGATGCCTATTATCTGTTTGACATATCATACATCTCATGACTCTCAGTGATTCCAAGCATGCTGGATGAAACCAAGTCGTCACGAGGTATTCAGTAGGCCCCGGAGTTTTTTCATGAATGCCCAGTCATGAAATGCTACTTCAGTTCCATGCTAGAACCAGGTTCCGGACAAGCATGCGGTCGGGAATTTGGTGTTCAGTTTTCATTCAGGTTCAAGTTTCTGACAATCATGCAGTCAGGAAGTGGACGTTCGATTTTCTTTCAAATTCAACCTTCTGACAATCATGCAGTCAGGAATGGGACGTTCTGAAGTGGCAGCAACCGCATAGTTTTCAGTTCAGGCTGACGTTTCCGACAATCATGCTGTCAGGAATTTGAAGCCCATTTTCTTTTCAAGTCACAACTTCTGACCATCATACAGTCAGGAATTGATATGTTGGTTTTTTGCAACAACCACATAAGTTTGAGGATTCTTGGGACCCGCGACATTTGTTTGCCATGAGTCGTAGGTTTGCAGGGAGACCGCCACCTTTATCGACTCACCCAAGCGGCAAGTACTGGGGTAAACCTCCTGCTTTGACGCCACCTGGGCACAAAGGCAAAGGAAAGGCCAGTGACAATGCCCTTTCCGCACCAGAGGAGTCCATATGTGACACTATCGACAACAGCAATTTGCGGGGAATTTTGAGAGACCTTTGCTACTGGCAGAGCCACGTCAAGACAGTGGAAGAGCTTACTGGCAAAGTGACGTCCGCCGATTGGTACCCTTTGCTATTGGACAAACTTGCTGAGTCGGTCATCGTGATATCAGGTGCCCCCAATGTCGGCAAATCCAGCCTAGCAGTTCACCTAGCAAAGACCTTGGGTTTGACACATACAAAGACTACGAGCAGAAATTTCTGGTTTTTTGCGCGAAACAAGAGGCCTTATTTCTCCCTTTGGATATACTGCACAGATTCGTTTTGGAATGAGGATGAGCCAGCGTGGCATCGGATGGGGCAATCTGTATTATCTGTCACCACGAACGAAGAATTCAGTACAGGAGCAGTGATTCTTGAAGGTCATCGGATTTTTGCATTTCCAGGTTATGCCGAAGTAGCCACCACTGTTGTTTACCTGGCAGCTACGGACAAACTTTTGATTGAACGAGGAACAGAATCAAGTTCAATCTGGAAGCACAAGCTTTTCATATCGAATGTACTGGACCAACTGCAGGAGCTCAACAAGATGATCATTCTGGAAGGCGAAAAATCGCAGGTCTACCTGGTGTGCCAGGCTTTACAAATCACCCTCCTAGATGATGCGGCCCTGGACGCATCTCATCTATCGGCGGACATTGAACTCGATGGGAGGTGGACATTTTAAATTTCCTTGTGCGTATCCACAGATCTGGCGAGTCAGGGTTGATTCGGGAAGTTTTGTTCGTGCTTCGCTATGAACCGACAATTCATGGTACAATTTCCAGGTTTTCACAATTTACTGGCCAACTTTTGGCTTTCCTTGACATACGCCATTTTTTCGGGCCGTGACAATCACCATGTAGCACTCAGGCAGTTACAAACGTCAAAGCAGGACAATCATGGGGTCCAGAGAAAGTTTGCCTTCAACCGTCAATTTGTTCGGGGGTCAGTCGGGACGCCTGAAGGCATTTCAAGCATTTCAGGCAACCGTTGGATTCAGTGTCGGGCGCCTTTCATTTTGGATCTTGGATCCTGAAAGCATTCCAAGCATTTCAAGAAACCGTTGGATTCATGTCTAGCGCCTTTTATTTTTTGGATCTTGGATCCTCGAGGGCTTCAGATTGTGAACGTTTGTGCTATTCAAATCATCCGTTTGGATCGTTCGGATGTTAGACATCGGACACGATCGTTTTTCATCTGGTTGAATCCTCGAGGGGAAATATACTTCTCACTAAAGGAACTCATAGCCATGTTTGCAAAGGTTCGGTTTACAACTTGCAAGGATACTAGGTTCGGTAGAACCCTATGGAATGAGGAGATTAGTCTCTGCCGGTAGAAATTCCATGTTATGTTGCCTGGTTGTGTATTCGGCCGCTTTCAGATGAATAGACTAGACTACACAAGCTGGCACACCATAACACATCTGCAATTCGGAATGACTTTGTTGCGGTGTATTGCTATATTAGCACCCAGTTCCTTTTCTATTAAAATGTTGGCTCGCAGCTCTAGGCATTGTGAATATCCGGACCAGTCTCGAGGTAAGTCATTTCACCATGCTGACGCCCAGGGAGAACCTGGATGTCGACAGCGAAGATTCGGAACCAGCACCCCACAGGAACTCGGGTTTCAGAGTCGTTGCCGAGGACGGCCTTCAGCTATCGCAGTTCCTCACCAGGATATAAGAGGTCAAGCGAGATCCGAGTCTACTCCTTTCAATCAAGAAAGCCACTCCCAATGACCACAAAGATGGGCGACCTTCCTTTGAAGATGTCAATACAAATTTGGTCAGAAGATTTGGCCAAAGCCATCGAAGACGGCTTGAAATCCTGCCATGTGAAGAGCGCCGACAAGGACGATGCCAAGGATTACAAAGTCCTCTTCATCAGGCATATTTCTTCGTGGGAATTTTTCGACGGTTGTGAGACAGACCGCGCTCAACAAGATCGTCGAATTCAACAGCTCTCCGACGAGGTGAACAGTCTTCGCACTAGATTGGAGAACTTGGAGCGGGCCCAAGGCACTCGATGAGGGAGCTACCTCACAGTCACCTGCCAGAATTGTTTGGCCAGGAGTTGGACCGGCCCCTGGGAGCAGTCGGGGATTGAAGGGCATCTTTTTCTTCGGCTCTGCTTAGAAATGCGCTTGCCCCGCACTGCTGTGACTTCGGGTGGCTGATCCCTTGGCCGTCGAGATTCATAGCTATGCCACGCTCAGGAAACGACGGCTTTCAGAATTTTCATTTACAATTTACAATTTCATGAAGTGCCCGGAAGTAGAAATTTCTTCTTCCTCAGGCTTATTTCCCCGCGGTTTTTCCGGGAGTGGCCAGACGGACAGGCTTGAACAAGATCGTCGAATTCAACAGCTCTCCAACGAGGGGAAACAGTTTTTGCACTGGGTTGTAGAACCCAGAGTGTGCCTTAAAGCTTGATGAGAAAACTGCCTCGTAGCAGCCTTCCCGATTACCTGGATAAGATTTGGGCCGGTTGCCTTTGACCAATTGCAGTTAGGAGGGCGCACTTTTGGCGGGCGTTCCCTCGGAATTCTCATGGCCTGCATTGCTTTGACTTCGGGTTGTTGATTCATTGGCCGTTACAATTGCAATTGGACCGCGCTTTGGACTACGGCTTCCTACATTTTCGTTTACAATTTTATGCAACAACATTGCTCTTCTCAGTGGAGTGTCCTGGTTTTCGAGGAAGCCTTTCCCGAGAATTGCTTTGGAAAATCAACTCAAGGGGGCGCTAATGGACTTGAAAAACCACTTGATGAAGAGCACCACGGTGTCCATCAACAGAGATTGAGCTAAAGTTGGATAATTTTTGCCGACGGGACTTCTGAACCAACGAACACTCGACCTGTGAGCATCGGTGGCATGCTGCTAAACCCAGCTGGCAATGTGGTTTCATATTTCGGATCTTACATTTTGGGATCCCTGCTGGACGTTTTTCTTGAAGAGCAAAGACACACAATATTTGAACTCGAAACTTTTCCAGTGGTCGTTGCGCTCAGAGCGTGGTCGAAATTTATCATGGGAAAATTTGGTATCCTATTATTTGGACAACGATGCAGCGAGATCGACCTCCATTCGTGCAAGTGCTTCGACATCCCTGAGTACCACTCTGGTTGCGGATTATGTAGACTTGAATACAAAGGCATTTTTTCTTATCGGTTTGCAGAGTTGCCAGCCGCAGCAACCCAGCAGATCAACCATTCCGCTTAGATTTTCTCCGATCTGTCTACGTGATGCAGAAACGTTTGAACTTGTCCTGCCAGCGCACTTGTCGCAGTGGGGAATCAACGGGTGCACTGACTTTGGAGAAACATGACTCACTGAGTCGAAGTTCAAACATGGATAGGCAGCATGAACCTATCCGGCACCACTCATTTGAAGCTGGAATCAAGGCCAGCATCTCGAAACTTCCCCGACAGTGCAAACCTGGAAGATAAAAAAGGACGCTCTGGATCGCAGCTGCTGCACCGCTCGTTTGCATTCATGTCCGAATTTTCTCGAAACGGATCGAAACCTTTTCATCATTTTCAGTTTGGGAATGTTTAACGAAGCAAGACGAAGGAGAATGCGGAATCACGTGGCGCGTATTTCTTTTGTTAGTTTGTATACGTTTGTATAGATGTCGATACATTAACCTCATCAACCTTTACAGTATTCTACTTGGAAACTTCCACCACCAAGATCTGTTTAGTTTAAACCTGGACCTGGTTTATGGAGGAATAAGGTGTCACTCTTTTGAAAAAAGATGAAAGCATTATTCCTCAAAAAAAATTGTGAGGTATCGCAAATAAGGTCCTCGACTTCAAACTGTCTTGTGGTGAAAGAATCTCTTCTGCAAACAACAACTGAAACATTGTTGTTGCACTCAAGTTTGTGGCGAGTTTCTCTTGAGAAACTTTAACTTATTTGCACACGCAACAAATTTCATGGGCAAAACCTTTTTGTGAGAACAATCTCGGTTTGACCAATTTTTAAAGAACTTCTTTTTGTCAAACTCTGGTTTTGCTCGTGCGCGTTTACGGTGATTTTCAAACATGTGTTTTTTGAAATGGATGATTATATGTTTCCTCCGAAACGTTTTTTCCATCAAGGGTTGGGTGGGAGGGACTTGCCCTCTTTTTGACGGAAATTTTTCGTCTTTCATAGGGGGCGAACGTGTGCTGGTAGTTCCATGGCCGAGTCATTTGAGGATTTATCAGTTGGAAACAAACCTGCTGTTTTGGATGTTTCTCTGGACACAACTCCATTTTTCAGCTTTGCAAGGGATCTGGAGTACCTCGAAGAGGTGAATGGTGACAGAGACAACACTGGTGAAAGACCGGACACAGGTGATTTGTTTGGTGGTACAGAACCGGTGGAAGCAGACAAGTTTTCTCTGTTTAGTCCGACGACTTTGGCTGACGATGATGTTGCAAACCAGCAGTTGAAAAAACATGACAGTGTAGGAGAACAGGAGTCGTTTCAACAGGTTGTTTCTCACACTGGGTTCAACTTTGATGCATCACTCAATGTTGCCTTCAATTCTGCAAACGCTGAACAACCCAAACAGATATGGGAGACTGGCATTTGGAAACACATCTTTGGAGATGATGATACTCCTCTGGACTTTGATGTTTGGGGGCCGCCGGTGACCAGACCTGCTCTTACAGCTTGGGGCGTGGATAGTCGGATTTTGGAGGCAGATGTGAAGTGTCCAAACAAACGTTGCCATGAGCCTACATTCAACTTTCTGGATGTGGTGTCGTTCAAACCTGATGTGCCGTGGCAAGAACAGAGGGAAGCAGATTTACAACGTGGCATAAAGTTGTGGATTGCGGTCACCAGCAGGTGGCATGACGAGTGCTCCATGGCACACAAGCTCAGAGAAATGAGGACAGAAGAAGAGGTCTTCAACATGTTTGCACACGTCTTCAGTGGGCGTGCACCTGTCACAGTGCGGAAACGTGGAGCAGCAGTGCTTCGCATTTGTGATTACTTGGAGACCAACATGTTGGAGGCCTTCCCCATGCAAGAGATCACATTTTACAGGTTTCTTTGTCACGAGGCATCCATGGGTGCACCTGCAAGTAGACTCAAAGGTTTTCTGCAAGCCGTTGCATTCTGCAAACATGTGCTGGACGTAGGTGAGCTGCAGTGCATTTTGGATAGCAAGAGATGCAGCGGTGTGGCGACTGAAACCTGTCCCAAGGAGCGACGCCAAGCCAGTCCTCTCACGGTGCTTGAGTTGAGAAAGCTGCATGAAGTGGTGGACGATGGGTCAGATCCTTGGGACTCGGTTTTTGCAGGAGCTGCTCTTCTTTGTTGCTACTGCAGAGGACGTTGGGGAGACTTGATGAGGAGCGAATCAACTTTCATCGACAACGATGCGGAAGGCAAACCTGCATATGTTGAGACCAGGGTTGGACGGCACAAGACTATGAGCTCACAGATGCACCGCCATCAGTTCCTTCCAATGGTTGCGCCGGTGATGGGAGTTCACGGAGGTGATTGGGCCACACCGTGGATGCAGCAGAGGTTCAAGCTTGGCCTAGAATTTCCACCTCAGGGACTGGTTATGCCTGCACCAGACAAGGATGGCCAGGTGTCGCCGAGGCCGCTGGAGTCTGGTGAATGCGGCAAATGGCTCAGGAGATTGTTGGGCTTAGATGTTGCGGCTGGATCTGATTCGAGCCGCAGGGTCAGCAGCCACAGCCTCAAAAGCACCATGTTGTCATTTGCGGCAAAGAGAGGACTGTCAGTGCCTGATAGGTTGATGCTAGGGTATCATGCTTCACAGATGCACATGGCCATGGTATACTCACGTGATGGTGCAGCAGCAAGCCTGATTTTACTTGAGCGTCTCATTGACGAGATTGCCAGAGGGAAGTTCCAGCCTGACAACACTCGCAGTGGCAGGGTTGTTGAATCTCCAGTGGAAGAGCATGTTCCTCAGAGTGCGGAAGTCAAAGTTGAAGTTGTAGTGTCATCAGACGAGGAACATGGTGATGAATTGCAGAAGAGTTCCAGTTCTGATAGCACTTCAAGCTCTGATTCATCGTCAGGTGGCATCCCAGAGAATCATGGACTGAATAAGGTCTTTGCTCCGCCCAAGCCTCCAGAGGGTTTTCAGAGTTGGCAGCATGCAAAACTGAAGACAGTTCATTTGACTGAGCCGGGTTACTTCCGGGTCTTCGTTTGTGGACGACCTGTAGGCAGCTTCCACCATCGAATCACTCAGGACCCAAGGTTCGATTCACCAGTGTGTTGGGCCTGTTTTAACAAGGCCGCGCGCGGGAATGAACAGCAGGCCACTTAGAGTTTCATGGCAGGCAGAGTGCGAGACCCGTTTTGGGTTCAGTGTCACATGCAACTGTCACGATATCAAACAACAGTTGTTTCTTGCAGGTAGGTTCAGTTTGTCATGTATGTTTCAATTTCTTTCAGATTGATTGTGTGAGTTGTGTCAGCTTGCAGTTGGGACCTCAGAATATCCGTTGCTGTGCATGACAACTCCAAATCACTCGTGAAACCGCATGTTTAACATTGTGAATTTTTGTCCACTTGTATTTAGTATCCATGTGATGCACAACAGGGTGATAATAGGAACTTACAGCGACAGAGTGAATAGAGGAAAATGCAGGGTATGCAATCGCGCGTCTGGACCTTGGTGGTTCTAAATGTCCTGCTGGGGTCGGGTCACCAAAATTCAGTGGAAAATTCAAATTTGAAAAAGACCGAGTTTTTCAACATCTCGGTTTTTTTGGGGATTCCTGGCCCCGGCCGAAACCAACAGGAAATTTACCACTTGGTGGTCTCACAGTGCCACAACGATGCGTCACCCAGTTTCACATGTCAGTTCCTTTTCACCCAAATTGAGTCTCATAAGACGGCATTGGCAAGAGCATGTTGCACTTCCAGTTTCAATTTGTTCACTCGTGTGAAACCTCTTGTCACTTTCATTCATGGAGAGTTTGACATGTCTGCCAGACCGAATTGGCGAGCGCTGCACGGGAGTCTACTTTGACCACATAGGCTCCACTTGGAGGTCAGTGCATTTGCTGGTGACGATGATCTGTCATCGTGCTTCTCTGTTTTCTTTTGCATTTTCAAATTGCGATTTCGCATCAAACAGTATGCACTGATGTTAGTGAGAGCACAAGGGGTCATGACAACTCGCTGTGCAGGAGCATGCATGTGCACCCTCTCAGACTTTGTGGGAGTCAAAAAGGGCCGCTCATGGCTGACAGACCAGACGTGCCGAGAGTTGGGTTCACATGTAGATCAGTTGTCAACTCATTGAGCGTTCAGTGTGCATCGGGGCCGTGCCCAGGGTTGCCATGCTGATGCTTGAATTTTTGTCATGATGCGTGGAGAGGCCCAGCTACATAGGCAATGCTAAATGTGGTGAGCCGAACACGTCATGCTGTGCAAGGATGACATGGAGCAAGTGAAACGTTGATTTCACTTCACATGCAACTTGACAGATCTCTCAGTTCATGTCAGGAAATGCGAACAGGCAAAAAGGCTTAGGTTGTTTTTGAGCACAAGACATGGATAAACAAGTTTTGTTTCATAGGATTTCCAGCGTCGTTTGCAAAGATGGCACTGGTCGAGAGCAATGCAGCTTTCACACAACGATGCAACGAGATCGACCCAACTGGCAACTTTGGGAATGCGCTGGGGACACAGAACATTTCTACATTCAGTGCAATGGCTTTTTCGCTGGGCACTCCGCAGACAGCTCCGACAGAACAGCAGTTCAACACGTTGGGACAGGCCGTTTTCGGCCCTGGCGTCACCTTGGGACAGACGTCCATGCTGAGAAGGATGCACTTCGAAGCGACCACTCTTATGATAGCTTCCGTCAAACAAAGAGTAGATGGTGAAGCAGCAGACAAGGCCGATGCAGTCAAGAGAATTCCGATAGCTGAAAAGCGATACAGGTTGGAGCAGCAGGAGCGCAGACTCACAGGTGTAAACATCAGTGGCGAGTTGGAGCCGAGCCACCAGCTGTTGGACCTGACCAATAGCATTCTGGAGACAGGGTCATTGGTGTGGATTGCACCTAGTCGATGCACCAAAAGGGCTGACGAAGTACAGCTTGCAATCAAAGATCGGCCTTCTGCCGTGCAGGTGGAAAACCAACAACTTAAAGTGGCACAGGTGTCGGAGGAGTTCCGAGCAGACCATGGCAGTGAGATCAAGTTGCAATGGTGTTGGCAGAGGCGTGGATTAGCAATGGATCAGTGCAGACTTTTGTCTTGGGAGGTGCATGACGCCTGGGTGCATCAGCTGTTCCGCACTATGAGCCAGACTGCACCACCTGGATTTCAGCAGGTGAAGGTGGAGCAACTGATCAGAGCAGACAGAGAATTGTGGACGCTGCTAGCTCAAGAGGTGAAAGGAAGCCTCAAGCCGGCAGCCAATGGGGCCATACCTCTTGACACTTTGGTGCCAAGGCTGTGCCATGACCCGAGGATCACCATGTTCCTTCTTCCTACAACTGCAGCGGCAAGAGCGGCTGACAAGGAAGGACCGGTCAAAAATAATCCACAAGGAGCACCAGTTCAAGCAGCAGCCAAGAGCACGAACAAGCGCAGAAAAACCAGAGCCGAGAAAAGTTGCCCTGAGGAGTTGCGGAAGTTCAATTTGAAGTGTGATCATGGGCCAGTGTGTTGGGCATACAACATGAAGTCTGGCTGCAAGAACTCTACAACGGGCAAACCGTCCAGGTGCGCAAAAGGCTATCACGTGTGTGCAAACTGCCACAAACCTGGGCATTCGGTGGTGGTTTGCAGGGGGCTCTCAAAAGACGCTGCTTGACATGTCAGTCCCACTGACCCCCTTTTGGAGTCAGGTGGGAAACGGAAGTTGGTTTCACTACAGCCCAACTCGAACAACGATGACGGGCGCAAAAGAAGATGTGGTGGCAAGGGCACTTTTGTCCAAGACAACAACTTGCCTACACGGCCCAAGCCACAAGACGTGGTGCCAGGTGACCACCCTAAGGGTATACGGTCCTCAGAATTTACAATGCCATATGGCAGCAAATTTTCAGGCAAACTGCTGGGTGATCTTATTTTTGTGGAAATTTGTGCAGGCAGTGCCAGGCTGACCCGAACTGCCAGGGAAGCTGGGTTCAATGGAATTGCCGTGGACCACACAGACAAGAGGACTTGCGGCATTGATATTTGCATTTTTGAACTGGAAGATCAAGAGCAGGTCAATGACCTTTGTGCTTTCCTGGAGGCGGAGGCGGAAAACATTGCTGCAGTTTGGATCGCTCCTTCATGTGGCACAGCTAGTAAGGCGCGTGAGAGGCGCCTACCACAATTGGCGCGACTGGGCATACAAGTGCCCATTCCTTTGCGGTCCAATGAACAACCGGACCAAATAGATGGCCTTGCAGACACTGACAAACTCAAAGTTGAGAAGGCTAACATGCTTTACAATGCGGTGGAGCAGATCACTCGCACAACCTGCAGGGCAAACATTTTCACTGGCATTGAAAACCCTGGCAACAGCCATTACTGGGGGACAACACCGATGCAAAGCATCATGCAAGAGTTTGGTGATAAGTTTGTTACTTTTCACAACTGCAGTCACGGTGGGTCACGTGACAAACTAACCTCAGTTTGGGTCAATGACGACTGGTTGGACGCATTGGAGGCGAGATGTGACAATTCTCACAGTCACAAATCCTGGAAGGTGACAGTAAACAAAAATGCGATCCACTTCCCCACCTCTGAAGAGGCTGCTTATCCGTTTGTGTTGTGTCAGCGCATTGTAGAATGCGTGAAGCAAAAAGTTCTCCAAATGGGAGCCTTAGTTTCTACAACGCTTGCAGAACAGATGCAACACCCTGATGCGGACGCTGCCGGTCGCATTGCCTTGGGAGCACTCCCGAGAGGGACCAAAGTTCGCCCTCTCGTGGCTGAGTTTGGGGGCTTTGTTGCAGCCGTAGCACCTCTACAACAAACAACCGCGGTGGAAACCTTCATTTCTTCACTTCCGAAGGGTTCAAAAATCACTTCACGACAGGTGCGGAAAAGGGGTGAGTTGCGGGTCGTGCAGGAGGGGTACACTTTTTTGGCTGGTTCTGATGACATCCAAGAGGATGACATGGTTGAGTTGTGCTGGATTGGAATACCTAGCACCCCTCGCCAATTTGTTGAAAGAGCCAGACAGGCAGGCCACCCACGAGGACTCGATGTTCACGTGGACGATGCAATGCAAGAGGTGGTAAAACAGAACCTTGTAGACCCTCCATACATGTTGGCCAAAAAGAGGGTGCAATACATGAAAAAATGGACGGCGAGAGCAAAGGAGCTTGCTGTGCAGGAACAACAGCTAAGGGACAAGATGCCTGAGCATGTCAGAGACGTGGTGGGGCAGAAACGTTTGCTTTTGATGGGCGAGATGCTGGAGGAGCTTGGCTATCCTGATGACAAGCTCACTAGTGACATAGCAAGTGGGTTCAGGCTGAGTGGATACATGAGGAAGTCCAACGTTTTCAGAGCCAGGTCAAAGAGGCCTGCAATGACTATGGAGACCCTCAGGAAGCTTGGAAAGTCCTTTAACTCCAAGAACCTTGCAGCTCTTGGCAAGCGCCAGGACCCTGAACTGGAAGAGTCGACCTGGAAGGAAACACAGGTTGAGCTGGAGAAAGGCTGGGTTTTTCTTGATGAGAGCAATGACACTGGAGGCAAATTTGTGGGCCGGCGATTCGGCATCAAGCAGGGGTCGAAGATACGAGTCATTGATGACTGCACGTGCTGTGGCCTCAACTTGACAGTAGGACTTCACGAAAAGTTCAAATTGCATTCAGTTGATTTTCTGGCAGCTATGGTGGGCTTTGCTTTGAAGTTTTGCCCGTCAGATGGGCGACCAAAGCTGGGAGGCAGGACGTATGACTTGCGCTCTGCCTACAAGCAATTTGCAGTGCACCCCGACGATCGTGCTGCTCTACGTATGGGCGTCAATGTGCCCGGCAGAGAGCAGTGTGCAATCATTGGTTTCAATTCTTTGCCTTTCGGGGCGGTGGGTTCAGTGGCAGGGTTTTTTGCGTGTCAGCCAAGCAGTTTGGTTCTTGGGATACTTTGGCCTAGGGCTGCTTTGGAGTGCTTTCTATGATGACTATACCTTGCTCTCTCGGTGCGAGTTGGAAAGCAGCAGCAGCTGGGCGTGCGAAGCCTTGTTCAATCTGCTTGGACTGGCCTACGCGACAGAAGGCCACAAATGCAAACCTTTCGATGACAAATTCAAGACGCTTGGATTGGAGGTCAACACTGGATCCTTCCAGCAGGGCTTCGTGCTTGTTGGACACACCGAAAGCCGCAGGGAGGAGTTGCATGGTCAGCTGGCAGCTGCCTTGGAAGCCAACACAATGACTTCCAAGGACGCAGAGCGAATGAGGGGCAGGATGATCTTTTTCGAAGGATATGCTTTCGGCCGTGTGGCCAATTCTGCGGTTAAGGCTTTGGGACGCCTTTGCAATAGTCCTGAGCCTGTTTCCAAGTTCAGCGCCTCCATGCGCACCACTCTGGAGTTTCTGCAGCAACGAGTCCTGCAAGGGCGACCTTTAAAAATCCAGGGTTCACTCAATCAGACCTGGTTGGTATTTACAGACGGAGCATGCGACCCTGCAGCTCGTGAAGGATCAGTCGGTGGAGTCATATATGACCCCAATGGAAACTGCCTACAATTTTTTGGGGAGCGAGTTCCCGACAGGGTCATGGATGACCTACTCGAGAGGTCGCAGAACCCGATTCACGAACTGGAAGTCCTGCCGGTTCTGATAGCAGCTGAACTATGGGGACAAACCTATGCTGAAGCGCAGGTGGTATATTACATCGACAATGAGTCGTCTCTGATGGCTTACATCAGAGGTGACGGCGAAACTCAAAGAGCTGCTCAAATGATCCATGCGTTTGTTCAGCAGGAGTCAGCCATGCAGCATAGAGTTTGGTTTGGGAGGGTGCCTAGCTACAGCAACCCAGCCGATGGGCCCAGCAGGTTAGACTTCAAAGAAGTGCTAGAGCTCGGTGCCACCAAAACCAGTATCAACTGGGAGCTGGTGATGAAGCACCTTGAGGTGTGACATGGGGCGAAGGGCGGAAGGTGCTGAAGCCATCCCCAGTGTTTAAAAAAGGTGTGCCACCGTTTGCTGCACAGCGTTTGTCAGACATTTCATGTTTTTGATGTTTACACTTTTATGCGTTTCGTTTATAGTCATCCGAAAACTTATTTGTTTGGAAAGAACGACGCGCCTTTGTGGAGTGTAGAATAAGTGGCGAGTTTCTCTTGAGAAACTTTAACTTATTTGCACACGCAACAAATTTCATGGGCAAAACCTTTTTGTGAGAACAATCTCTGTTTGACCAATTTTTAAAGAACTTCTTTTTGTCAAACTCTGGTTTTGCTCGTGCGCGTTTACAGTGATTTCCAAACATGTGTTTTTTGAAACGGATGATTATATGTTTCCTCCGAAACGTTTTTTCCATCAAGGGTTGGGTGGGGGAACTTGCCCTCTTTTTGACGGAATTTTTTCGTCTTTCCTTCCCTTTTTCTTTTGTTTTCCCACCCTCGAAATAATTTCCTTGCTTTTTAAGGTCTTTTCACATGAAAAAGGCCACACCCTAAGCCCTGAAGGGCGGAAGGTGCTGAAGCCATCCCCAGTGTTTAAAAAAGGTGTGCCACCGTTTGCTGCACAGCGTTTGTCAGACATTTCATGTTTTTGATGTTTACACTTTTATGCGTTTCGTTTATAGTCATCCGAAAACTTATTTGTTTGGAAAGAACGACGCGCCTTTGTGGAGTGTAGAATAAAACAACAAACAATTCTTGACCGCTTCTGTTTTCTAAACGAACAATCAACACTGAAACACACGTCAGTGGTGGTCATGTTAATATTAATTTTCTGCTGGTGCATTACCCATCAAGTGGTGGGAGGAAGGGACCCCTTTTTATAAGGGAAATTTTCGAGTACCCACTTTGGTGGGAATGTTTAACGAAGCAAGACGAAGGAGAATGCGGAATCACGTGGCGCGTATTTCTTTTGTTAGTTTGTATACGTTTGTATAGATGTCGATACATTAACCTCATCAACCTTTACAGTATTCTACTTGGAAACTTCCACCACCAAGATCTGTTTAGTTTAAACCTGGACCTGGTTTATGGAGGAATAAGGACCAGTTTATCGTTCATTCGTGGGGATTTTGCTTTATCTTTCACCTGACCTTCCACAATGTCAGTATGTGATGAGATACCTTTCGACGTTCTCTTCAAAGCCAACGCAGAAAACGATGATTGTGCTGAAGCACTTGGTGGGATATCTGGCTGGTCATGCAGACCAACATGTTTCTCTCAGATGGAAGGGAATTCACTCTGGATTACTCAAAGACTATGAGTGTGATGAGCCGGTGCTGGAAGTGTTTAGTGATGCAGATTGGGCATCAGACCGTGACACTCGACGTTCAGTGTCAGGAGCTGCCATTTCTTTGGAGGTTGTCTGGTTTACTCCTCCAGTCGAACACAGAAGATTGTGTCACTTCCCAGCGCAGAGTCAGAAACGTATGCAGCCGCCAGCGCAGTGATGGATGCAATCCTCATTAGAGCCATAATTTCATGGGTGCTTCAGTGAACAATTCTCATGTGTTTGTACATTGACTCATCAGCGGCACGTGGAATTCTATCAAGACGTGGAGTTGGTCGTTTGCGTCATCTCAATTGTCGAGTCCTTTGGCTTCAAAACTTGGTTGGTGAGAAACTGTTGGTGGTCAAAGCAGTCTTAGGAGCAATCAATCCATCCGACATAGCCACCAAGAGACTCAGCATCAGCAGGTTGGAATCACTGTTGTATTTGTTTGGTATCTGGGATAGTGCAAACAACAGCCTTGTGGGACCACATGACCCAGGTCGAATTTTCAGAAATGTTCTTCAACCTCAGCAGAGCAGCGCTTCCAGATATCAGATCAACATGTTGATTGGCGCCGTGAGCTTGCTTCTTCAGGGTTGCGGGTCGGACGTGCCAAGTGGAGCCATGGACAGCAATTTTCAAGGATCAACTATGCAGGCAACCATTGTCACCAGCTAGATCACCTTGCTGACTTTGTACATGGTGTTCTTATGGATGCGCAATGATCAGCCGGTTCACAATGAAGTTATATGAAGTTTTGGCCAGCAGTGATGATGATGGTTTGACTTCTGTGGAGATGTCCTGCAGCGAAACTGAGACAGATTCAGTTGTGAAGGTCTTCCAGACTTTCCTGCTTTTAGCCCTGAAGCTTTGATTTCATGGCTGTTCGAGAGGTGCTACCGTCGACGTGAAGATTCAATTTTCCAACGGAAACAGTTCCAGAGCACTTGCGTATACACAGCGCATGATGCTGTTGGTGGATCTGTTGGATCATGTTATGGGCTCTGGGGACACCGCAAGACAGGAGGCAACAGACATGTCGAACACGGTGTCGGATCTTTCATCAGACGAGGCGAGCCCTACACGTGCAACAGATGAGCCTTGGGAGTCAAAGAAGAAGAGGCTCACCACAGCACATGCTGCCATGATTTCTTTGCAGGGAAGCATGACCATGTGGGATGTCTTGGAGCTGACATGGATGAGACTGCTCAGAACAACAGTGGGAGCAGCCAGTTCTCATTCATGGTCCTGACCTTGTGGACGTTGTTGCTTGCAGCATATACATGGTGGATGTTGCGCAGCCCATTTCTTCGTTTAGTGCCAATGCCACCTCCCATGCCAACTGAACTTGCAGTTGGGCCGGTGGTCACACATGATACCAACACGTTGGAAGGGCTGTTGACATGGACATACGCCCGTGTATTGGGCAGGCTTGCAAGGGCAAGTCGAGACAACAATTTGGGAAGAATCAGAAAGTATACTGAATCACGGAATTGGCTTCAAAGACGTTTTGCAGAGCTTCGAAATGCCAGTCCAACTGACCGTGAGCGCATTCGAGCCTCTCTCACGGGTGACAACGAGTTGGACGAGGAAAATGGTTCTTGAACCTATGGCTATGGGGTGGTGGAACGTGAATTGTTATCTGCAACCCATGGACAGGTCTTCCAATTGGTGGTGAAGCTGCTTGAGCTCGAGAGGTTCGAGAGCGTGGTGGAATTGGTCCGTGGGATTGGAAGTTCACTGAGGACGCCCCCTAATCCTGAGACCTCCTCAGACGAAGCCATGATGGAGACCCATGAAGATAGATTGCAAAGGTATCGAGATTCAGAACAGTGTGAGGTGTCAGACCCAGACCTCTGGGCCACAATCAATATGGAGCACCAGAGGATGGAGAGGAAAAAGATAATGAAGATGATGCCATGGACGTGAGTGGAGACGGTGTAATGGAATTCTGAAAAGATCCTGAGCGTGGATAGAACAGCACCACAGAAGCGGTTCCATGAATGGTTAGGCCAAAAGCCATTTGTGGGATCCAGTGCACAGTTTTTTTAGAGCGCAGAAAACCCCAACAGAAGAGATTCGACGGACTAAGCACAGTCCTAAGGGGTGTGCAGACTAGTATTGGAAATACAGTCTGAGGCGGGGTGCAGAAATGTTACGCACCTTGCATCAGTACATGTACATGCCATAGCAGTCATGTTTTGTCACTTGACACTGCAAAATCGAGCAGTGTAACATGGTGAGACTTTGGAGGCGCTTTCAACTCAAGGAAAATCCGCACATATCCATTCGCAGCGTATGCGTGCATGTTGAAATTTTAATTTTATTTCCCCAAAGACACAGTCTTGGGAATAAAACCGCCCGTTTCACTGATTGGAAATTCATGTTCCCATTTTGATTTTGCGTTAGCATGCATGTATTGCAAAGGTGCGGGCCAGACTGAAGTGCGCACCCCAAAACAAAATTACTACAAACTACAAACAAATGTTGCAACAGTTTTCCATGGCAAAGCGTGAAGAATGAACGGTTGGTCGTTGTTGGGTGTCTTGCTGGGGCCATTGTGTTTTTTTGATGCATGTGCATGTTTGTGAAACTGGTGGATCTCCACCATAAAACCGCAATTTTGGGAATTAAAACAATTCTTGTGCATCAACTGCGGGTTGTCGCAATTTTTTACAAGGCAAAATTGGTGCAAAATTGGTTCAAATAATAATCAGATGAACCGAATTGTTATGATGGCGTGAATCTTCCAAACAAGTGCTCAAATGTGTAACTGTGACACAAACGGAAGAGACATCATTGTGTGAGGGTTCACACATATTTTGAATTGTTTTGCATGAACATGGCACGTGGCACATTAGGTTTTGTTGATGCACCATTGTTACATTTAGGTGGCGCACACATGACGCAATATCAAAATGGTTTGCAATTGTGTGAAACCGTTTTTTTTTTCGAACGTAAAACAGTAAAACTGAACAAATCATTAGTTTGCATGTGATACTTCCCTGACATGAAACATGGTGACATCGAAGAGGCAGGCCAATATTTTCAGGACTTTGCAGGACGCGAAACAGATATTCGCTCAGCATTGTTGAGGTGGTATCGTGCCCAACGTCGACAATTGCCTTGGAGGGGGGATCCACCACCTTGGAGTGAAAGGAAAACAAAACACCAATCGAATTGCGCAAATATTCAAGGACGTGATGAACAACCATCGTCAGAGAGGTTCTTCAAGAATTTGCGTCCATCAACTGGACACAGACCAATTGTTATTGACCTGGATAATGACTTCATTGACATCAGCAAACCTGAAGAAATATTTCCACTTTCTGCTTATGGCGTGTGGGTTTCTGAAGTTATGCTGCAACAAACCCAAGTTGAGGTGGTTATCCCCTTTTGGACTCGGTGGATGAAACGTTTTCCCACCATTGAAATTTTGGCATCAGCATCGACTCAGGAAGTGAATTTGCTTTGGGCTGGTTTGGGGTTTTATGCCCGTGCCAAGCGCTTGCATGAAGGTGCCCAATATGTACTTGCTCGACATGGTGGGGTTTTGCCATCATCTGTTGAAACTTTGCAGCGGATCCCGGGCATAGGTCCATACACTGCGGGAGCCATTTCTTCAATCGCGTTTGGGCAACCAGCAGCACTCGTGGATGGAAATGTGGCACGGGTTTTCAGCAGACTTTGCGCCATGAATTTTCCAGCAAAATCTACGGTGTTGTTCAAACTTAGTTGGAAACTGGCACACCAATTAGTAGATCCAAGTGATCCAGGAACATTTAATCAAAGTCTTATGGAGTTGGGCGCAACGGTTTGCACCCCTACCAGCCCACTGTGTGATGTTTGCCCAATACGATTCGCCTGCAAAGCTCATGAACTGCTCCGAAAAGCTTTGGTGCCAAACGTCACACATTTTCCTGCAAGACCCGTTCAAAAGAAACGTCGTGAAAGATCCTTTGCTGTGGCTGCTGTTACTGATGGCTCTGCATGGATGTTGGTGCGCAGACCTCCAAATGGTCTTCTTGCGGGGCAGTTGGAGTTTCCATCCGTGGAAATCAAACTTGAAAAGGAGGAGAACAATCTGGTCAAAACTCTGGACAACGCGACCAAAGATGATGTCATGCACAGATTGTGGCAATCCATGGTCAATGATTTCAGTCTCAATGGTGTGGTTTTGGATCCGTTTGAAGTTCCATTGGAACATATTTTCTCCCACGAGCGACATGTGATGCATATCTTTCGGGGCTACGTTACAGCTCGGCCATTGAGTCACACCAGTCATTTGGAAGTGTTCTGGCTGAGTGTTTCCGAAGCAGAGCAAAATTTCTGCATCACAACCTGTTTGCAGAAGGCGTGCTCAGTGGTGAAAATTGTGGTGCATTTTCAAGGATTTGAATGTTTAGGATGCCTCTCTATTTCTTTGTCGATCGAGATTCTGCATGATGGAAATGATAAAATCACCCAAGAAAAGGCCAAAGGTTGCTATATCCTGCAATTACTTGTACTCAAAAAACAATTGAGCATTTCGAAACTTGTTTGCTTAGAGTTTGATTCATGTGGAGTTCAGCACTTGGTGGCAGGTTTTTGGAGCCCTCACTGGATCCTCCAAGCGTCGAAAACGGGAACTTTGAAATTTTTGTGCAAAATGCTCTTCGCTGCATGGTGGGTTACCTGGCAGGAGGAATCTATCTGGGCTATATAGGCATGTCTCGTCATCTTTTCTGAGAGTTTGAACTTGATGCACAAAGACAAAGTTGTTCGATTTACGAGTCATAGCGGTGACCATCTTAGTAGCGTAGTCTTTTTTTGTTTTTATTCAGGTACGGTACGGCGTGCAAGGAAAGGAAGCATCAATGTCAGCCAGTTGAAAGATTTGGCCGTTGTGACGTCCTTCAATCTTTGGCTCAATCCTCCAGCTTGTGTTGTGCAGTAGCAGGAGCTCCGTTCTCAGATGCAAACAGGCAATCATGTTTCTGATCTTGGCAGGATGATCAGGACATTAGGAAGATATGTGAGCAGTCGCATGAAAGAGTGGCCCAGTGTCAGGTTTTGCATTACCTGAGAGGTTTGCAAAGTGCTGTTCCATTAGTCCATTCTGGTCATTGGTCATATATGAGCTAAGTATGAGCTACCTTGGAGGATATGGCAGTTTTTGGGCTTCCACCATGGGTTGGTTTGGTCCGCATCGCATTGAGTGCGTGTCCATGTGGTACACCTCAGCCAAAACCAACCAAGAATCTTGCAGGTTTTCACGACGGAGAGACCAAACTCGAACCATCCTTGTGATGGCATGCCATTCTGATGTCAACCCCAAACATTTGTGTTGCGTGACTTGTGACCTAGCACTAGTCCAAGCAGTTTTGAAATAGATATATATCTGGTACGCAATGTGAATCATCCAGCTGCAAGTTCCATATGCATTTGAAAAATGCTCCAAACATCTTCAATGTCATTGCATTGTTTTGGGGCACTTTTCCATAGTGGACCACCCAGGCATGCACCCAACACTTTGCTGTTCCACCAATCACGGCTTCGTCTCTCTCCGTTTCTAAGGATCTGAACATGCCAGAAGGAGATGGTGAAAGTGAAGAGGCGCTGTACGTAAGAAGCAACTCATGGCAGGAGTTGCCAGAAATGAAATCGCCTTACACTCACAGGCAATGTACTGTATGGCATGGTAGGCGATTTGAAATTGATGTGAAGTTGATGATAATGCGGATGTCGATGCCAGTGCGGATGCAACTTAATACATTTCTGACAGAAGTGATGCCATTTTTTCCAGCCAAAGAGCTCTGCTTTTTGGTTTCTGTTTGCTGTCAAGACGTGGTCATTGTCACCAGCTGATTTGCTCCTCTGACAGACAGGCTTTGTCCCACTTCGAAAGGATCTTTTCACGAGGGAGATGATATAGTGCGCTAATTTGTTTTCCCCATCTGGAATCTTTGTTGTCATGAGATGCATTTAGTATCACTTTTCTCTCCCACTTTATCTCCTCATATAATAGGACCTTACACATTTGTTTCAAGACTTGTTCCCTATTCCCTAGATAGTTTGTCTTTCACTTGGTCTTCCAATGTGTGATTTTGTCGCTTTTTGCCTACCGCTTTGTCTGTTCATTTGGATTCTTTTCATGACATGACTCTTTCTTTCACTTCGTTTTCTACTTTGTGTCTCCTCTCAATGTGGGATCTTGTCACGTGTGAGTTTGGAAGACCCATTCAACATTGTCATGCCATATGAACCATATGAAACAGTGGATTCATCGATGTCTCATGTCACATAGCATGTGCAGGAATCTGTGCCACCGCAGTGTGGGATCTGAGCGCTCAAGCCGAACAAAAGCGTTCATTGCGGTCTTGAGTTGACCGATTGCATTCACCATTTGCAGGTGACATTTCCGTTGAATCATTTGCCGTTGCTATCAATTTCATGGTAGGCGGAGCACCTTCCTGGTCGCTCTGATGGCTTCGTCGACTGGTGGATTGGATGTTCCGACATGGAACGGAGATCCGGTGGAATTTGAATCGTTTGCAACAGCATGTCGCTGGTTTGAAAAGAGCCTGAAGGAGACCGAGAAGAAATCTGCAGCCTCAAAGGTATGGGCTAGGTTACAAGGACCTGCAAAAGCCGTTGTCAAACACCTGAACCCAGATGAATACGAGAGTGAAGAGGGTTTGACAAAACTGGTTGAGGTTCTCCGCAATTCACCCTTGCAACAGCTTCCAGTGCCGGATTTGTTCAAGAGGTTGGATCAGTGGCATATGCTGAAAAGACATGGCAACGAGACAATTCCACAATATCTAGTTCGTGAAGAAGATGTGTTTACTCAGGTGCAAGATGCCTTGAAAAGAGCGAGGCACGAGAACACCAAGGCTTCACAACTAGTGTCGGGTTCAGTCCCGGTGACGGAGCAGCGTGGGCCACCGTCGACCCCATCGCAGAGTCCAACAGGTGCAGCATCACGACCTGTTGGTGCATCACAACGTGCTTCTCAGGAGCCACAGCAGTCTGTAGTGAAGGACTTCTTTGAAGATGAGCTGCGTGGGTACCGTGTTCTGAAAGGAGCTGGTTTGACAAACTCTGAGAAGCAGAACATTTTGGTTCAAACAAACAATACAACAAGCTACATGTCTGTTAGAAGGGCATTGCGTACGTTGTTTGCAGATGATGATGATAGCTGGAGACGGAAGCAACGCGTCTGGTGGAACCAAGATGTTTCTGGTGATTGGGGCGGCGATGAGTGGCATGATGGAATTGAAGATTCAGGGACCTATGCATGGTGGTATGAAGATGATGGCATAGCTCAATCAACTGACTGGAGTACCGACAATGACTGGAATTCTGGCGGTGATTGGACTTCATGGAACATGTACTATGATGGTTGGGATGAATCTGAATGGAACTATGAGGATGTTGAGAATGACTTGCCGATGGATGAGTCTAGCACTGACCCTATGGAGTTGCAGTACAAGGAAGCATGTGTTCTGGCAAATGAAGCTCAGCGCACACTGGCTGAGGCAAGAGACGCAGTCAAAAAGGTGCGTCAGGCACGTGGGTACTTCGCTCCAGAGTCTGCTAGCGGCAAGGGCATAGCTGGATCGCCATCTTCAGGGCGCACTTCATGGTCACCAACTGGTTCTGGCAGTTCTAAGGGCAAGACTCTTGGACGTGGAAAGGGCAATTTCTTTGGACCTTGTTTCATTTGTGGCATGCATGGCCACTCATATAACCAATGCCCCGACCGTTTTGCCAAAGGTAAGGGTCGTTTTGGTTTTGGAAAAGGAAAAGGATCCCCAAAGGGGAAGAAAGGGAATTCCAAAGGGAAGAAGGGTCCTTTCAAATCAGTCCAGTTTCATGATTTGAGTTTTGTTTCCTCGCCTGGCATCTATTTGGCAGAGACTGCACAGAACAATCGTGTGATCCTCGACACCGGCGCTTCTGAAAATGCGGTCGGCATGGAATCTTTGAGCAGATTGATCTCTTCATCCAATGTCAAGTATGCAGTTGATGTGAATGACAAGCCGATTTTTCGTTTTGGAAATGGTCAACAATTGCAAGCTGCCAGCAGAGTAGATTTACAAGACACTTCATTGGGAATGGTTTCATTTTACGTTTTGGGAGAAGAAGCATGTTTGACTCCACCATTGATGGGAGGCAAGACCCTGCGAGAGATCAACGCCGTCATGGCCTATCAGAACAACCTCCTTTTGTACCAACGTCAGGGCCCCCAGTCACCATGGTTTGCTGTCAAGATGCACTCACATTCTTCACATCACGTTTCAATCGATTTGATGGAGCCTGCAATCCCAATGAAAGATCCTGGCATGTGGTTTTTGCATGGAGGTGAAGGTATACAAGGTTCAGATTCTCATGTTTCTCAAGCTGAAGTTCAAGAACCGAAGGAATCATCTGGTATTTTTATGCTCTCTGCAGTGCCATTTTCGAGTGATTTGACATCAAGATCTCAGCGTCTCAGCACCCTGGCTCAAAGACTTCAAGGCCTACGTTCGAAGGTTGAGAATGTCAAGTCGCCAACAGCCATGCGCGGAGGACGACCCCAGGATGAGTGGCTTCCCTTGTCATGGAACTCACCATCCAAAACAGAGAAAGAACCAGCATGCTGTTTGGACGACATGCGCAACGTGTGGACTGCGTCTGTCGTATCAGACCAACAAGGGGCAGGACGGATCTTACCGCCACATGGGGCCTCACCCAAATCAGACCCGTCTGGCTCTGATGGAGATCCAGAAAGAGATGGATGCCAGCCAGGTCACGGAGAAGGTTGTAAACGGAAAGCTGATGGAGCTGAAGGGAATCCAGTTGCAGAAGGGCCTCACAGAAACCATGTGCATCAACATGAGTCTGAGCGACTACCTCAAGCGCATGGGCTATCTGCAGGCCTCCAAGGACGTTCAGGAAAATGCCAACAACACGACCACGGGCAAGGGCAAATCGAAGGGCCGAGATGTCAGCCAGACGGAGCTGATCATGATGGCGGCCGAGAACTATCTCCTTGCCAAGGGCCTGAACAACTTGGATCCCGAGGAGTTCCAAAAGCATGTGATGGAATTTGCAACTGGCAAGACGCTGGAGGAGATTCAAATGGCACGCAATCAGCTGGATGCCAACAAGAAGTCAAAGCCCATGGATGTGATCACCATCGCATCGGATGCGGAGGAGGAACTTGGATGGAACAGTGTGACAGTCAAGAAGGAGGACAAGTCGGAAGCTTCGGAGCTCTCTGGGGCTCACTGAAGATGCTGCGACAGAAGATGAAGATGGCTGGAACCATCAGTCACCAAGGTTCTCAGCCACCAGACAATGGTGACAACAGCTCTGGCGCCTATGGATTTAAGGGCAGACAGAGCATGGCTGATCAACATGGACTTCCCCTACAGCTTGGAGTCGGCCACAACTTTCAAGGTGGACATCAAGCTCAAGGACAACACCAAGGCGCCACTGGATTTCAAGGCGGCCTTCCAAAAGATCAGACCAGCAGCATCGAAAGCCAGCTTCCTACACCTGGACCTGGAGGTGGAAAGAAACGTGGAGTTCAGCCTCACACTGCCAAGAAGCTTGCCACAAATGTGGCAATCCTCAGTGCCATGGTGATGACACCCTTCCGCTCACT